CCGAGATGCAGCAGACAGGAGGATATGCAATGCGCTGCGAACGACGGCCACATACAAGCAGGCACACAGCGTCGCACACACGCCACCCCAGCAGCAGCTTGAAGGCGGCGTGCGTGCGTGCGTCAGGCACCATGACTCCATACGTAGATACCGCCCATCCCCAGGTGGCCAGCCAGTGCAGATCGCCCAGTCACACACAAACACGCCCTTATAACAACCACGCACGGAGTGCTGGGGGTGCATGAGAGCGCACCGCCGCCCTCTCCAGGGCGGAGAGGGGCGGCAGGTGGCCGACCCGCAGACACCCCCAGTGCACGCCCATACACATATCACCGCCGGGATAAGTAGGAGCGCGGCAAGACACACACACAGACCACGCCCACATCCACACGCACACCCCTACACACGCGCACACCACCCAGACACACACACACACACACACGCAGGAATACCAATACCTCACCCGCATACCCACGCCCATAGCCACACTCACACGCAGACACACACGCACACGCATAGGCATATGGAAGGCACAGTGTGGGAAGGAAAAGACCTAATGGGGTGAATAGGGGCCCCTCCCCCAGACCTCGTCTCTGGGGAAGGGGCGGATGAATGGTGCGGCGGCCTCACTCTTGCCGCGCACCGTAAGAGCACACTCCCGCCTGACTGCACACGACAAGAGAACCCACCATCGGGCCACGACACGGCCCGTCGAGAAATCCCTGTCATCCCTGTAGTGAGCTTCCTTCACTGCCTTGCCTAGCTTGTGCAAAAAGGTCTCCATAGTCGAAGACCACCGTCCATACGACTCGAAGGCCAGAGGCAGAAACGTGTACCCTCCCCGTGCACATGCGACGGCGTATTGGTCCCTCTTGCGCTTCTCGGCCACGCGAAGGGCCGAGCCGGGCCGCTGGTTGGTGAGGTTCCTGGGGTCGCCTGGGCGGTCGGCGTGGGTGGGGTGAGTGCCAGTGACGTCAGCCATGAGCTTCGAGCCGTCATGCTGAGTGAGCACCAGGTCCATCCGCTGTTTGTCGGTCGTTTGCGGGAGTGGGCACTGGTGGTCACGCAGAAGCTGCTCGGTCTTCACGCTGGGGCATCGGGCCTCCTTGCAGATGCGATAGACGGTCGCTTGGACGGTGTTGTGTCGGCTGGTGAGGTAGCCGCGATTGGGGCACTTGAGCATGTGGTCGCCGAGGGGGTCGCAGGGCTTCGTGCACGCCCCACACGTCGTCGGTCCCTTCACCAGGCCGAGCTGGAACTGCACGTTCCACACGAAGGCGTCGGGGGAGATGGTCGTCTCAGGGCGGGACGGGATAGCTTGCAGCCAGCCCGACGCCCCGGGCCCCTTGCAGCTCTGCAGCCGGGCGCCGTCGGTCGTCGGATGGCCGGCGGCATCACGCATGGCGTCCAGGGCTGCCTGCAGGGAGGCGGACTCCTGCTGGTGGATGCGCTGGGTCAGCTTGGACTGCAGGCCGCCGACGGGGCGAAGCATGAGGCTGCGGACGTCAGGCAGGGGTCGGATTGGGGGGATGGGGGGTAGTGGGTGAGGAGGTGGTCATACGCGGCCTGGATCGCTTGCACCCACGGCTGCGCCTCGAGTCCGGCGCGTCCATGCACCGGCATGGTGCGCCGCGGAAGCACCGCCCGGAGCACATCGGCCAACACCACCGCCCCTGCGCCGAAGTACGCTGCTGGTGCGATGCGGTGGGCATCGGTGAGGCCGAACCCCCCCTCAGTCAGCGGCAGCTTGAGCTGACGGACGGTCTTGGTCTGGATGTCGCCGAGGGAGAAGAGGGTGCAGGCGGCCTGAATGAGGGCGCGGGAGTGCTTGCCAGCCGCCTCAGCGAGGGGGCGGGTGAAGGGGAGGGAGGTGCGGAGGTGGTAGTGGAACTTCGGCGCGGCGCAGAAGCGGAGGAGCTTCTCGGCGCTCTGCGGGTCTTCCAGCTGAGGCAGATTGTCGATAAGGTGCTGGGTCTTCTTGAGCACCTTGGCGAAGTGCCGTTCCATAAACTCCGACGTGCCGAACGGGCAGCCCAGCACCAGCAGCCCCTCGTCGCGCACGCACACACCGCTGGGCATGTTTGCCGGCCGGTCCATGCCCTTGGTGAAGTGCTCGCCCCACACCTCGCACTTCTCCCGCACGAGGTTCTGCCGCACGATCGCCAGCTCGTTCTCGGCCACGTCGAAGTCGTGCGCCACCTTGTCCTGCGTCGTGCCGATGTAGATGTTGTCCGCGAAGGCGACCACCAGCCGGTCAGGCAGCGCCGTCCTGATCTTCTCCAGCACCCCATGCAGCCCACACGCATACCACGCCGGCCCCCCACAGTCGCCCTGTTGCACTCGTTCCTGGCTCGACACTTTGCATGTGTAGCCCCTCTCGTGGTGAAACCACAGCTCTGCTGGCTCGCCGTACCACTGCAGGAAGTACTGCGTCAGGACGGGGAAGAGGCGATCGACACCCTCGAGGATGGCCTGGCGGCTCATCGTGTTCAAGGCGTTCTTGGCATTCAGGCTGAGGAGGACGCGTCGCTCGTCGGGCTCGCCGGCCGACAGGAACGTGCGAACAGCCGCGATGAGTTTCTCGGAGCCGGACGCCACCCCCACTGCGTACTGGCAAGGGGCCAGCGCGGCTTCCAGCTTCGGGGATTTCTGCTGCACTATCGCCCGCGTGACCCAGCGACGGATCGTCTCGCCCATCGCAATCGGCCGGACGCCTCCTGTCGCGACCCCGTCGTCGTCGGTCTTCTCGAACGCACTCAAGCGGGCCGCCGAGAGGAAGGGGCGGAGGGAGGGGGGCACGCGAGAGTGGACGAGGAGCCAGACGAAGTTGGGGAGGGGCACCTTGCAACCTTGCATCGCCAGTTGTGGATGGCGCGGAGGTGCTTATAGCGCCACCCGGTCCCGCCCTGCGCCGAGCCCTTGGGCGCGTGCCCCCAAGAGGTGCTCATCGTCGGGCTCGAAGACGGTGCGGGGTGCGTTGTTCGGCGGCAGGGTGGGGGACGGGTCGAGTGGGAAGGAGGCCGCCGGGTGGAGAGCGTGCAGCTTCGCAAGGGTGTCGTCGTTGTTGGGCAGCACCTTGCCCGATGTGAGCGCGTTGGCGGCCCGACGAAGCTCGGCGCACTTGATCAGCCGACGAGCGCGGCT